CTATTTAATCATTGTGGCGAACGGAGAAAAAATCTCGAACGCGACATTTGTTGCCGCATGGTCTTCGCGAGGGACCTCGGTTGGCCGCGTGGGTCAGAGTGTCGTGCTACTGATCAGCCGGTCGGCCGGGCCGCGAGTTCGAATCTCGGCTTGGTCATGGATGTTGTGACGTCGTGTGTTTGTCCATAATTAGAAATGTAAAATATAACAACCTAGTTTCTGGCTGCATGGATTAGGTCCTAAAGCCAAAAAAAAAAATGGTCTTCGCGAGATTTTGTCGAATAAAAATTGTCGATCGCGAGATTCAAAAATGCACTTTTTTATCTCGCATGCGACATCAAACATTCAACATAGGAGGATATCCTCCCAAAACGTCACATCCTCAAAAAATTATCGATTTTTGAATACAGATACTTCTCCACCGCATTTTTATCTTATTTAAAGTGACTCAGTTTTAGCGACAGTTTTGACAACCTACCATGCTGATACAAGAAGCAAATTAATACTGCCGTGGGTAACAGACAAAGTGTTATCGTCAACAGGTTGTTGATTATACACATTTGTTATGTATTATGAGTCTCTTGGTGAATAAATAATACCAGATTCATTCAATGGTTGATATTTGATCTGGCATACGCCTTTATTTCAATCGGGGCTCTTAAGAACCAAAATAGTCCATTTATGTTCCTTCTCACTATAGTACTTACATGCAGCGCGGTAGCGTGTTGGTAGATGCTGTGGTCTAGCAATGAATTTTCTCTTGGCTGCATATTTTTATGGCGGGGCCAGAATGTGTGCTTGTTACGTGCACACCTCTTCCCTTGCTAGAGTCCGTGAGACGTCTCCCCTTTTTCCAGTTTCCCTTTGTAGTCCCACAGTACCCACGTATATTTAGGCACGTTCTAGGCCTTCGTGGTGTCTTATACAGGGTGGCGCATCGAAAACGAAACAGACGCATTTACTGGCAGCTCAGTTTTTTTTGGAAAAACGCTCAAACCAGTCGATTTTGTTTTCGAGGGGGACACAAGTTTGACAAAAATCACGTTAACACGGCCCATGGGCGGGGGTGACACCAGCCCTAAAATCTTAAATGGAAAGGGGGGTCAAGTGATACCTTATTTTAAAGGTTTTTCAATTCCCTTTATAATGATGTAAAATACATGAGCTTCAATTCAGTAGTTTTGAAGATTTATTGAATTAAAGCTTAAAGTAGACTTTATTTAATATGACATCAGATTAGTTTGTACTACATTCAGAAGAAATTTGACTAAAAGAATTTACTTGATAAGTAAATGCTTTTCTTCATGGTTTGTTTATCATTTTGTTGTTGAAAATAGCAATTGGAGCTTTTTTTTGTGGCAAAAAAGTTATTTCTTGAAGAAACATAAGGAAATATCTCGTACTTATTTTAAATAGGAATTTAGTACATAATTTGCGTTTGATTTGACCAAACTTTGTTGCTAAAATAACTTGTAATGCTTTATTAAATAAATTAACCATGGTATATTCCACAGCAGAAAGAGTTGAAATTATCGAAATAGTTGTCGGAATTAATCAGGGCGCTAATAGAACAACAGAAATATTTAATGAGCGACATGAGAACAGTAACGTGCATCGAAAATATGTTCTTGAACTTGTAGCTAAATTTCGGAAAACTGGGTCAGTCGCCAATAAAAAACGCAACATTGAAAATCCCATAAGGAACGAAGCAATAGAAGTGGGGGTTTTAGGGCAAGTTTATGTAGATCCTACGTCAAGTACGCGCAAATTGGAGACTGTGTGAGGTGTTAGTCGACGTACTGTCCAACGGATTCTAAAGGCCCATAGGTTTTATCCGTATAAAATTCACCTGGTACAAGAACTTAATGAAGACGATTTTGATCGGCGATTACTATTTTGTGAAGATATGAGTGAACCAATTATCAACGATGAACATTTTCTATTCAACACTTGCTTTTCCGACGAATGTTCCTTTTTCTTAAATGGCGTAGTAAATCGTCATAACTGCCGATATTGGTCCGATTCTAATCCCAGAATTTATCATGAGGTTCATACACAGCAGCCACAAAAATTAAATGTTTGGGCTGGTATTTTTGGCGATCATTTAGTTGGTTCTTTTTTCTTACCTGGAAATTTGACCGGTGAAATGTATTTGGAATTACTGGAAGACACCATAGATCCTGCATTAACAGCCATAATTGAAAATCAGAATTATCGGCGGTACATTGCGAATAGGTTGATGTTCCAACAGAATGGTGCCCCACCACATTACGCATTACGTGTTCGACAATATTTAGATCAGACGTTTCCAGATCGATGGATTGGTAGAAGAGGTGCCATTGAATGGCCCCCAAGATCTCCAGATTTATCACCTTTGGATTTCTTAATGTGGGGTCATTTAAAAAGCAAAATGCTACTCAGCCAACATCATTAGAAGACCTGCGACAAAGAATTGTGAATGAGCGCCTTCAAATTACTCCTCAAATATTGCAAAATGTGCGGCAACGTTTTCAGCAAAATCTTTATTATTGCATGGAGAGTCATGGTGGCCATTTTCAACATTTACTTGCCTAATGGGTCAGTTCATTCTTCATTTTTAAATTACTTTGCTGCCAAATGTATTGATCTCCACTAATGATGATGTATTAGTTTTATTTAAGCTTTAAATCAATAAATCTTCAAAACTACTGAACTGAAGTACATTAATTTTATATCATTATAAAGGGAATTGAAAGACCTTTAAAATAAGGTATCACTCGACCCCCTTTCCATTTAATATTTTGGGGGGGGTGTCACCCCCGCTTAGGGGGCTGCACGTGCTAACGTGATTTTTTGCCAAACTTGTGTCCCCCTCGAAAACAAAATCGACGGGTCTGAGCGTTTTTCCAAAAAAAACTGAGCTCTGTTTCGTTTTCGTAGCGCCACCCTGTATATGAAACAAGTACATTCTTAAAAAATATAAACGACCCTACTGCAGTAACTGAAAAGGATGATTCATTTTAGAGAAATTCAGAGAGTATGCCAAAATCCATCAGGCCATTTTAGGTGTAGCCCGTGAAATAGGAATTTCAAAGTTGGTTTTTCCCAAACTAGTAATATACCGTTCATTCGTCCTCAGCATAGCGTAGGATTGCTTGTGATCCAGCTGGCAATGCGAACTGGGATACCAGCTCCATCAGTCAGCTTGCTGTTTTCACTTTCGCAGTAATCGGTTCTGGTAACAGATGGTACTTTGTGATAGTATCTTATTCTGATTTCTCTTATTAACATCCATCATCTGTTTTTAGTTTACTCTATACTACTGCTCAAAGTCCAATTTATTATCCTCACACTAATTTATAACAAAACGATTTATCACAAATTTAGGACTATGCCGACTAGACCATCGCGTTGTCGACTACTCGACTTCCCTTCGGGTGGAGGCGGGTATTTTGGTATTTATTTTGAAAATGGTCAATTCCTGAGAAATTCCGCGCTTCTAAGAAGTCCCTATTTTTGTTTGGTACTGTTTATTTTAATATCGTAAGTGGACTGTATTTACATTGCAATGATGTATGGTTACAAATATATACGTGTGTTGCTTGGCGGTCCGCAAAGAAGTGATGCGGCATGCGGCGGCGGCCTTGCTTCCCGGCAATGGTGATGTCAGCGGGCAGGCCAGTGGCGGAGGCGAGGGTTTAAAAGAATGCCTGTACAGATATCCTAGGGCCGTATCGTCAGTCGTTCCTACAACTGTAGGACGTCTTTATGACCTCATTGATTCTCATAGTGTCTTTTCTCATTCAGAAAGACTGGGGTATTTCTAGATTTCCACTGCTCCCACTGCGAAGTTATGTTTTCAGGCTGATAAAACAGATGATATAAATCAAAAGCATTAACAATTTGATGCAAATAGATATTATTGACATAACCTCAAATTGAACGCTGACACGGAATAGTAGAAAACTATGAAAATCAAGGAGACCATACAGGCGTCCTACAATTATTGTAGGAACGACTGACGATATGGGCCTTAATGTTGGCCGATCCGTTCCGATGATGCCGTAAGCTATACCGCTCTTTATGGATGGCAGCGTAACTTCCGTTGCCTAAGCGTTGATATTAGTAGTAGTAGTAGTAGTGATATTTATTGGCCATGTTGATACATAAGTATATATGGCAGGTCAATACAAAGAAAAAAATAAATAAGCGAATAAATAAACAAATAAAAGATCACAGCAAAAACGTTATAGATAGAAAGTAGCTTTAACATGCTAAGACATGCACAAATATTACATTACTCATATTTAATTATATTATTTGTACTTGTGTATTCACCAATCGTATAAAACTCTTCACCTAATAAAAAGTTTATTATAAAATACTACACGGTTGTAATGAGGTGAGCGCTTAAAGCGGCTGGTGTTGTGTTTGAGGCTAGTTAATGTCGCACTTTTTCAGGTACTTATTATATGTGCGGTACTGTCCTCGACTCTGGAACTGGTACAAGTTTTTAGTCAAAATGAGTACCAGGAAGTATAGCGAAGTCGTTGGGTAGATTTTTTGAATGGCGTAGTTCATTATGACGATTTTGTCTTCTTTTAGTATCAGCCTGTTACGTTGACACCAGCCACTAAATACATTATATTGGAGCTCTTAAAGATTATGTCCGTGAATTTTTATCGTTGTATCATCAGCGAGCATAACTTTGGCCACAACCTCAAACCGAGACAGTCAGTTGCTCAGCAGTCGCTTTCGGTGGGATGCAAAAGCAATGAATCCAAAGTCGAAATCGAGTTTAAGTCGGGTTGCTCTTAAGTTGCATTTGGTGAGAACAGTGACTATTGCTTAAATTATAGGCTCAAATAGTACCTAATGCATCATCAACGTGATGATTAATTTCCATATGCCAGTGTTCGATAGTGTGATTGATATATAATCTTTGATTACTCTATAAGTCGGAGACTGCTGTGAAAGGAGATTGTAGGTTTTGGTCAATATAATGAGTATGCCTATTCTAGGTATATCAAGTCGATAGATAAAGAATACGCCGGGCCCTTGGCATCTTTTTTTATGAGTATGTTCATGGGAAATGTGGTAGAATCCTATAGATTCACGACCTCGTAAGTATAGAGATGATGAGAGAAGAGAGATATTTGAATACATAATAATATTTTTTTAGCAATGACATTGTAGCAACCATAAGATCTCTTCTTTACGTGACAACTGGAATATTGGTTATATTTTTTGTGTGTTACTTCATACCTGCACAGTTTATTCAAGATGAGGTAAGTGTGAATAACATAAGTAAAAAATTATTTTGTTGCACTTTCCGTGCTTATTCAGCCATACAGCTTACAAACTTCTTCTTGTTCAAATGATTCTCACTTAAGAATGAGCAAGGCGGCCTTATCTGGATTAGAATATTAAAAATCCAGGCATTTACTCTAGATTACAGGTCAGTTGAGATTTTTTACATTTCCTAGATAGCGACGAGTCTCCAGAGGTGGCACTACTCTGCAGCTTTGCTGAAGGTATCTCAAGAATATTCGAACGTTTCTCCGCATGAGCTCTAGGCAGTACAAAATGCTTCCCTTATACGAGTAGCAGTCGCGGAACCTTGGAATCTAGGACTTCGCGGCTGCTCTAATATAACAAAATCTTGCTTTTGTATTGCTTCATCGAAATAATCTGTTTTAGGCCAATAAGATTAGCAGAAGCATATATTTGACTAAATGGTATGAGCACAGCCTTAATGCCAAGCCTGTTGTAATGATAATAGCTAGAGCATACAGACCTTGTAGGATAGTTCCTTGTGGTATTTGGGAACTGAACTTAGAAACAGGTCTCATGGTAAGTATTTAAAAAAAATGAAAGTTAGATAGGTTTTGCAGTTTGTAACTTATATACTGCTTTCGGCCTTTCGATCAACCGTATACATCACTGTTTCATGCTTACTGGCAATCATCAGCACTGTCTAGTTCTGACAACTAGTGAAAGCTGAGCGAAGTATCCTCTATCAGACTTATATTGAGTTCGCAAGTTGTCACAGTCTCTGAAAATTACCTTTCCTTGCCCAAAATATTGATATTCTCTACAGGATTAAACATTGTGGATTATGAATCATATTGTATTTTTTCAGGTAATACGAGCAACTATATCATACGCGATGTTTCTAAGGACCTTGTAGGTCACCTCTAGATAGTTAAGATTTTCAAACTCGTAGACTACTAAATTGTACCATTGTAAATGTATATGTATTGTTCACATTCTACCATTGCAGTTAATAGAGCTATGATTTCAAAATGAATGGATATCTGTCTTTCCTGTTTAAAGGCATTCAGTAGATATTTTTATGAACACTATTATTTTTAACTTCGGAGTATGTTCCACGTAATGCTTCCAGATAGATGCACAGGGTCTCAAGCACGTTCGATTTCCGTACTAGGAAAAAGGAATTAACGCTCAGCAATGTGCTCGTTCGACCGTTTCCTGCTGATAGTTTAATCATATTAGAGGAAAAAATCCTGCGGTTTACAAAATTACTAAATAGTTGTGATATTTTGTTTTAATGATACAAGTTGTTCAGGATAGTATTTTAAATATGAGCATATTAAATGGGTAGCTCAATTTTTGTAGAAGAACTTCATCAATAACAAAAAATGATAGAACGGGCTTTTTGGTCACTTCAGTTAAGATTAGGTATTTCAGAGATAATAAATCCTCATATAAAAAGATCCAACTAGAAGTGAAATACAAACTTTGCCAATATGCAGATTTAGACACTCGTTTGTAATGCGACAATCACGTAGATACTTGAGACTGCGTAAATATGTAGGTGTCATACTTTTTAATAACCATATCGCACCAAACTAACAAGATCGGAGTCCATTGGGCGAGTAGTTTTTGAGAATTTCTTATCGTTTATTTCAAAACACCTGTCTTCCAGCAAACATTCCACCTTGCGGGGACGTATGATTTAGATTTGAATCTTTGAACAAGGCATGCTGCATGCTTTCCCATTTATGTTTTGTAATATCCCGTGGATTTGTCGGTCTGTCTGTCTGACTGTCTGTAGGCCGCTCGGTCTATCTGTTCGTTGAACCTTGGCCGGTCTATAGCTTGGAAAATGCTGCTCGGATTTTAATGAAATTCTTATAAGGTTAAGACTATGCAATCGGATTTTTTTGATGTAACTATATCAATACACGTCCAACCAAGGTAATTTTATGCACGCATTAGACATATTTCACACATCATAGATTTTCCCGTTCATTTGCGATATATTTTCGGCAGAAAGTTTGTGTATCTATCGGTCGCACTTGCCGTATATCACGGGCGACTTATAAGAACAGATACCAGACGGCGTGGTGACGCGATATGTTGTGTGCGTTACATAGTAAGGCATATGAGAAATAGAAATATCACTGACGGGGTAATGTGTACGAGAAAGATGCGTGCAATACATATGATGTAAATAGTGCGGTGATGGCAACGTGGCGAGCCGCAGCTGCGTCTGTGGCCTCATCACTCGGGTTGCCAGGCGACGTGATACTTCCATCTCTCTTTAACATAAGTTTTGCACGCCTAACGCGCGTCTCTCTCATAGACATTACGATGTCAGTGATATATGGATTTAGGTGTATAGTATACCAAAGATAATTGGGGCTTTTAAAAAATAAGGCTACCGTGTTCGGACATTATCATTGCTTACTAATGGTTCTGACAAAGCCTACGTCTTTTTGATACCATTGTACTACATAGAAAATTGTACTAGAAGCTGTTTCGAAGGCATGGGAAGTGTAAAGTCTTGACTTGACGCCATTTTTTCTATTAGTTCGGTAAAATAAATACTATTTCACCTTAACTGAACTTTTATTGAGATCAAATAAACTTTTAGCACGTCATATACAACGGAAGTTTACTATTAGGAAGCCGGGGGGCGGTATACGTATTTTCATCCATAAATAAAGTTATTTGTCATAACTTTTTTGCTTCTAAACAAATCTTTTTAAGTGTGACTTCATTGAGTAAGTCTCTTAAGTACCTAAAAATACCTAAAAATCTTATTTAAAGAGTCTTCTCATTCAAACAACATTTCCGATCGAGTCTCAAAAACTCGTTTACTCATTCTTTGTTGTATTATGAACAGCTTTCTTAAATAATGCAACTACTCATTTTATGCGAGCATATGTAGCCCCTGAACAACTTGCATGGATAACCACACGTTAAAATTATTTAGGGGAAATTTGCTAATACGATTGAGCAGGTAACTACCACTCGGATCTGGATGCTGACAGCTAGGTTGTCCGTATGTCACGTATACCAGTGGTTCTCAACCTTAGGGGGCACGATAAAAGTGAAGGACGCTATGGGGACAAATGCAAATGTACCGAAAAAAGATAAACAAAAAAGTACAAACAGTTTAATGTTTAATTATTGAATGACTATGTTGTATGCCAATGCTTATTGCATCACTTTACTGTAACAGAGACAAAAGTCCTGTTCTGCCCTTTTGATACCAGCTGAAACTCAAAACAAGCAAATCAGGGGCATCAGCAGCTGGCGTAGCTCTTGGCTGCTCACCAGAGAAAGCAGCTAGCATCAACGAAGACTAAGGACGTTGGGAAAATTGCAAATAATTTTCAATAAAAGCGCTTTTGTAAAATGGAGGTCCCAGAGTACCGTTATTAACGAGCTCTGGCGCTCAGAGTCTACCTACTTGACACAAGTCAAGCCTCAAAGTACCCAAAGAAAGAGCTATAGACCAACCGGGACAGTACGGTTGGATATTCTGTCGGTATTAGGTTAGATTTGTTTCACCAGTCAGCATTTATTTGGCACCAGCGTCCACTAAGGCCAGCATAGACCAAGTTCAAACGCAGATATCTAAATTAAATAAGACAAAGATTATTCAGAAATATCTCATTTACGCCAGTCTCAGCTTTATATCTGTATCCTTCAATTTGAAATCAAAGCAATTCACACACTAGCTACCTAGTGCCTGTTAAATCACAATGGTTCCAAAGTAAGGGTATGAAATTCGGTATCGGTGCGGCCTGGCTTACGATCGGTGCAGTTCGGTATCACGGTATAGACGGCCTTAGTAGCCAACTCATTCATAAACGCTTTGTTCTAAACGCGTATCAAAATCTAAATTAAAGAAATTTTTTTCAGCAAACTAGTTCAGCCAAACTTCAAAAATCGGAAAACAACTCTCTATTCAAAATTCGTACTTCAAAAATAGTCACGGAAGTTTAGGATCTATACGGCAAGCAAAATTACTAAAAAGTAAATCCACAACCTCAAAAATACTTCACTTACAGTTAACAGAATTACCACTCTCTCACTAAATCGGAACGCACTGGTTAAACGGAACACCTTTTACACGTATACTCACCCCCTTACTTGAAATGCGGGTACTTCCGTACTATGGTACGCTATTTTTCTCGGCTGCTACCTGAGAAGAGAGAGCCGGCGTACATACTCCCGTGCTTTTACAGTGCTCGCCAACGTTCTAGAACCGACCATGGCCGCTACGTAATATCGCCCGCCAACTAGTAATCTTCTCGCCGTCGTGACGCAGACGTGATGTATTTGATTAAATCAAAAGTAATTTCTATTCGATTCCTCATGGATTGGCCTATGAAATTAGTGCTCACACCTAGAGCATCTTATTCCCTAGTGCTACATCTAACCCTGCAGGGTTTCCAGCCCCAAAGGGGCCTACAGCCAATTCTAGCGGCTCCCCGATTCCTGACGACCGGGAGTGTATCAGCCTCGTGCAGGTTACAATTCCTACACGCTGTGTGCTCTAAAATGTATTTTAAGTCAGAAATAGAACCAATCGGGACCTTAATGCCCCTGTTGCCCGCTGTATGGGACCTTACAGGGCCCACATCACCAGGAGAGTGGTGTGACAATTCCCCCCAAGGGGCACTAGGTGCCTATTTCAGCCAGTACCTGGAATCGCCACTTTGGCGTGTTGTTTTCTCCCTGTTGATCCCAGGACGTATTAGAACTTTCTCATGCCGCGTTCCTGACGACCTGAATATCGTCTAGAGCAGAGTTCCCCAAACTTTTTTGTGTCGTAGACCCCTTGCCATGTTTTTCCGTGTTGGGTAGACCCCCTACTTACCTGATATTGATTTCCTGTAAATTTCTAACTGTAGTGAAGTTTAGTGTTAAAAACTTAAAGTAAAACCACATGTTAATTTATACATTTATTAATTGAATTTAAATTAAAACTACTCAAAATAAAATTTTGTATCTGTTATGTAAAATATACGTAACATTAAATAAACAGGTGTCTGACCAATAAGTGCCCGCATTGTGAATAAGTGCCCGCATTGAAAAAAAAAATAAGAGGGATAAAATAAAAAAAAAGTTTTTTGCTTAAAATGGTACAATAAGCGATTTAGTTTATTAATAATAACATAAACATATGTTCTACAATAATTTCACTGTTAGTTTGATTAAATTCCGCTTCTTATACGTTTAAGTTATCTAAAAATAGGCAAAAAATTAAAGAATTTTAGTGTGTACCTTTCCTTGAATTTTCAGAATAAATTAAAAAAAATATTTTCTATAAAGGGGGGTTCTTTAAAAAATCAATGCGGGCACTTATTCCCAATGCGGGCATTTATTGGTCAGACACCAATAAACATAAAATAAACTATAAATAAAATAACATAAGCAATGAGTCAATATTTTTTGTGAGAAGGATGAACCTGATGCTTTAATAATAATTTATCAACATTTGGCGTCAATTTTGTAAGGGTTAATCTTAAATCTCCTGTCCAGTCTGTTTCTTTTTTTCGTTAGGAGATTGGTAACAGCGCTGAACCCCCTTTCCACTAGGTATGACGATGGAAAGGAAATTAAAAATTTCCTCGCTATATTCCATAATACTGGATAAGTAACGGGTATGTTGTTTTGCAGCCAGAACTGCTGATATCAGTTTTTAAACTGAACCTTAAGTTCTTCGTTTGTACTTAGTTCAGTCAGTTCCTCTTGTATTATGACATTCGTTTCTTCTATGTCACCATATGGATTAATTATCCACGGTGGTATTACCCATAGTCAAAATATCCTCAAACCTAAATTCAAAATCTGAATAGAGGGCATTTAAATGTTGAACGTAAGGTGAAACGTCGTCTCCTGGCAGCTTGTCTGTGACAAATTGGGGAACTGATAAAATTCGCCCCGTCCAATATTTTGCTTCATTAGTTTAACTCT